ACGTGACCACATCTTTGGTAAAATGAACCATCATGACAAGGGTACCTTGAAACCAGTGATCGGTTTCGCGGCACCCCGTGTCATGGATGCTGCCGAAGAAGGTAAGCACGCGCATTTTGGCTAACGACAGATCGGTTGGGTCATGCGCTGATTAAATGAGGTTCTCCTAAACACTGATTTAAAATAAATTACCTTTCATGTTACAATGTTTATAGATATTTCGTTTTGTAAGATTTGCGTGGTGCTAGGCTGAAATCCATTCAACATAACATCAAGCAAATCTCACAGAACGAAATGTTTATCTCCTAAATGATGCAAATTATATATTATAAATTATAATATGTTAAACTATGATAATTAAAAACACATTTCCTGTAAAATAAATTAAGAATTCAACGATTTCAAAATGAAATTCTCAGATTAAATATATGGGGTGGGGGGGTGGGGGTGTGGGGTGTGGGGGGTGTGTGTGTGGGGGGGGGGGGGGGGTGTGGGGGTGTGTTTCTGTATTTTATACAAACCTATACTCAGATAAACGATGTTCAATAAAGAAACACGACATCCCTAGCTGGTAAGATATCTTTATTTCGGTGTGACTGTCTGAAGCTTTTGTACCGCGAGAAGAAAATGGAACACCTGACCAATAAATTAGATATGATCCGACGAGGTTCGAGGATATCCAGTTCCCGACTTCCCTCATAATTGGGGACCCATGAAACTTCCGGTTTAGAATTGGTCCTCAGCAACCCATACTTGTAAGAGCCGACAAACGGGGTTGGATGGCCAGGCTCGTTGACTTGGTTGATGCATGTCATCGTATCCCAGTTGCGCAGTTCGATGCTCATGATGTCAATCACCGGACTGTCTGGTCCAGATTCGATTATTTACAGACTGCCGTCATATAACAATTGTTATATTTTGGGAAAACACTTTCTGAGTAAACTACAGATTCTCGTTCGGATCCTGGACGGGACTCAACACAAAAAAGTACGAGAGGCTGTACTTTACTATGAAAGTGTTATCCCAAATATAATATATGTTAGATTCAACCTCTACCTATATAGCATTGAGTGCCGTCCTATAGCTGGAATATTGCTGAGTGCGGCGTTTAACAACAAACAAACAAAAACAAACACTAAAGATGGTATTAACCATGAAATCGAAAAATGAACCCCAAGCAATGAATCGAAGTCATTTGTTGATAATGTATCCGTTCAGAAAGTCACGGTATTACGCTAACATCTTGTCTTGGTAAGCTTTTTGAGAAAAATCTACTAAAAAGATTAGAAACGCGGACATCCCGAAATGCCTGTAATTTTCCCGAAATGTTGCAGTACGTTTGGCTTTAGGAAAGAGCACAGTGCTGTCATGTCGCTATTTACCCTCATTGAATGTGTGCAAAGTTATGTTAACAGGGGATCATGTATAAGTAACGAGAAAGCTTTTGATCAAATATGGCACTCGGGTCTCTCCGTAAAACTCTATCATCTTGGTATTAGAGGTAAAATGTAGTCTCTGTCACACCACTGTTATACTTCCATGTATGCGTGTGTTCAGTATAAGGGCGAACAATCTGATGCATTTGCTGTTAGACAAGGTATAGGTCAGGGTAGAGTTATCTCAGCTTGGCTTTTTCTTGTGTGCATAAATGACCTCATAACTGAGCTTCGGCAGTTAGATACAGGATGCTGATGATACTACTCTCATCAGTTCCAGCCCTAAAGGTCTACAAACAGCCTTAGATACAGTTGTTAATTACGTATTCAAATGGCGATTAACTTATAATGCATCGAAAAGTAAAATTGTTGTGTTTTCATAAAAAGAAGCAGATATTGTGTACGCATGCTCATCACTTATGAGATTATGACATACCTTTGTTTGATAATGTAAAATATGCGGGTGTTGTTCTGCAAAGTAAGGCGTACTGTTAATTCTCTCCTCTCTGTTGGTCTAAATAGTAGCGAATTACATCAGTACGCATAGCATGGTTGGCTATATAGATAAATGTAGACTACAACTTCTTGGGCGTCTCTCCAACAATTCATGTGCCTCAATTTGTAAAACTGCGCCACTGGGTCACTCTATTATTTTCCATAACAATAATTTACACAGTTTATGTGGAATGTTGCTTTCAACAGCTAAGAAATTTAACCTATTTCATCATGTATTTCACAACGTTTACACAGGGGAATTCTCCGCGAAGAATAAGTGCAGAAAGGTTGTATTAAATGAAACAACTACCCACGAGGAAGAAGTATTGAAATATAAACTATCATGTTGAGCTGACCTGTTTCGATATTCTAAAATTCACACAACACGTACTCCCCATGTGTTATACAGCTTTGTAATAAGATTTCCTGAATTGAGAGAAAAAATACTGTATGTAATAAGGATTGGATCCAGAAGCAAAATATCTAAGGAATGTACATAATGGAATAGTTTTGCTCATGATTATTACTATCATGTCATATTAAACTCTGAATGTCTACTTTCAGAGAGAGAGGTGTATTTTTTTCCACTCCAATTGATAACCGTGATGGTCTGTGTGGGGCTCAGAACATTTCAATCAGCTCTCCTGTACATATTCCACAGAGTTTGTGGAACAAATGCCTTGTGGAGTTCACGAAACCTGCTTATTTAAGGAAGATCCTACAGACATGTGTACCAGTGTACAGTTTCACGTTTCATAATATTTTATCTCAACGGTTTTATTCCAAACATCTGGCCAGTTGACATTTAGTTAGCTGTTGCAGTTATTGATCCGTTCTTGCGTTAAGCAGATCATGTGACCAACATTTTTTATGACTGACTGTTACATAGTGTGCACACAATTTCACATGTAATGCTGAAGTTCTTTTTCATTCTGTCGTAGACATATAAGACGGAGATGGCCATAGATGGACATTTATTTTCACAACAGACTTGTTTCAGACCACCGGATCTGAATAAAACCTGTTATCTTGAATTGGCACAAACTTCTAGTTGTTTTCTCGGACTCCGAGTAGTTATTGATAACAGAACCTGCATATGCTATGCTCGATTTAATAAATATCGTTTCTCCATTGGCAAGCATATTGATAAACAAAGACAAGTGAGTGAGGACATACAGATACAATCATGGCGATCCTATGTCAGGCACACACACACACACACACACACACACACACACACACACACACACACACACACACACACACACACACACACACACACACACACACACACACGTATACACTAACCACTATATTACATTTCAGCTTTCAGTTTAGAAAACAAACTTATGAGATATTTACACGGGTCTTCATATATCCAAGAATTATGAATTGAGTTAATCCTAACATTACAGGTACACTGGTGAATTATTCGTGTCATATACAACGTTATACATATTCCCGTAAACTTCACGTTTCATATCGTGATGGCAAATTGCAATAGGATCGATATACCACCATGAATCATGTTTGTGATTAATATTGTTTTTCGTGTTTATATGGAAAAACAGTGTCAACAGTGTATGTGGGTGTGCTTCAACTTTATACTTGAAATTAAACGTACCTATTACCCGCAGCTTACTAAAAACACTTTGACAGGTGGTGCCAACTGATGATTCACAATCAAACTCCTGCATCTACAAGTGACAAAATCCATTACTGTCAACATCAGGTCCGGGAAGGCGCTTCTATCTACGTGTTTTACCATCACGAGTTCGCCCACTCAACAACGCTATCCTATCCGTTATGTTAGGCATATGGCATCTAATGGCGTTGTTTTTTTTGCTTAATGCCGCACTCAGCAATATTCCAATACATGACGTCGGTCTGTAAATAATCGAGTCTGGACCAGACAATCAAAAGGGTGACACATGATCCGCCTACAGGAGGTCTGAATACAATAGTCAATCAAGTGGTAGGTATTCTTTTGGCCAAACTTGGGAGTAATTGAGCTGGGTTTAACGCCATTTTAAACAATATTCCAGTTATATCACAGCCCATGATCTTAATGTGGAAGGAGAACCCGAAGTTATACAGGTCTGTACCACTTTGGTAAAACCCACCAGCATGGATATGGGGCTGACAAATCAAGAAACATAATCGGGGCGAACCGGGATTCGAACCCAAAATCAGACATAATTATTTTGAATACGATCTTGCTCACTTTCTTAAAATTGGATCAGATATTGGATGAAAGAATCACCATCCAAATTTCGATATCTTACTTGACAAGACGACCTGGTGAGAATGTCCAAAATAATACTATAATACCAACAGAAACACAGAGTACATCCAATTTTGTTTCCGGGCTATCAGTCGTCCCCATACACGCCTGTTTAATTATATGATTTTTCTATTGTATGAAACAGCGATATGTATGGTGGCCGAAAGGGAACATCGCTTTCTCTCTCGCTCTATCACTTTCTCGCTCTATCGCTTTCTCGCTCAATCGCTTTCTATCTCTATCGCTTTCTTGCGGTATAGCATTATCCCGCGATATGCCAAGGAGAGGCACGGGCCACCGCGCCGTGGTTGCCCGTGCCTATAATAAAAACAGAAGATGAGGTTGGGTTAAATGGCAGAGGGTGTGCAGGTACTAGTGGGCTACTTAGCTGCTAATTGTGTATACCAAAATGCTACCGTTGCCATGGCCACGCGCGTGGCCGACGGCGATTGCAGCTAGCGCTGCTGGCCTGGGACTGCTACCGCTGTCCGGCCCCCACGGTAGCATATTTCATCGCTACCATTGCTTGGCAACTCCCACGCTGCCAAAAGCAGCTCCACGCTGCTGGCCTAAGTCAGACTGCCGCTGCCCGGCCCCAGGTAGCCGGCCAAAGCAGATCACACTGCCCGGCCCCATTAGCAAAACCATTGTGCGGCCCCCCGCCGCGGACCCAACTGTCAGCTACCGCTTGACAAGACGACTTCCGCCGCCGGGCCCATATACGTGGCAATTGTTTGCCCCAACGTATGTTATTTTACGATTCCCCGGCTGAAAAGTCGGGAAAGACAAGGTTCCCACTGAGAAGCAGGTAACCCCGGAAAGGTTCCCGCTGAAAAGCAGGTAGCCTTAAGCACGAGTATTAATTTGGAAGCAAGTTAATTTGTTACTAGCAGTGTAGCCCACAAGAACCCCGCCACAAAGCACCCGAGTGCTACCCCACACCCACGGCCACACGATACGCGGAGATAGCATTGTTGCCCGGCTTGCCTATGTACTGAAAGGAAACACTAACCTGTGGAGATAATATCCTTACTGGCGCAAAACGAGCGCCAGGGCATGCAATAAATTGTCCGTAAACACACACAGTCCTTTGTCGCTGAGGTGGACGCCCTCCCAGGCGTACCATGTCTTGTCTGATGCCAGGATCTGGGGATGTGGCACCATTGTACCGCCGAGCTCTTTGACTCGGTTGGCCAGTCGGCGGTTGGTATTCTTCCGCATCCCCTCGATTTTTAGTGGGTCCCTGGCATCGTGCCAGTAGCGCCTGGGCAGCATTGAGGATACGATGATCCTGGTGTCAGGAAGCTGGGGTTGTATCCGAAGGATTGATGCCACCATGTCAAGGTAGAGTTGGCTGCTACAGGTCGTTGGAGCCGAGGTGAATGATGAGGGCTCTGGGGCTGCGCCGTGTCGCCTTGACCTGTGCATCCAGAATGGTGTCCAGCTCCTTCCACCTCATCCCCCCTCGTGCCAGCCATAGCATCCTCGGTTGGTTCGGACTGGTGCCCTTCAGGAGCAAGTACTGCCGTGCCCTGGCCATGTAGCTGGATCCCACCATCCAAACTGTAAACAATAAGAAGTGTAGTAAGTACCATGAAAGACTATTTGAATTAGTTGTGCAACATTGAATTTGTTGGTAGGCGTATGTAAGCATTGTAGCAATCTGATTTCCACCTGCCGTATTGTTGTATGAGGTGTTCGGGCACCCCGTTCATGGCTGCTGATGTGGCTGCCCCAATGCGGAAGGAGTGCGAAGAATAGCAGGCCGTGTTTATGTTGCTGTGTGCTAAGGCCTTTTTTAGGAGTGCCTGGAATTGGTACCTTGTAACGGGGGAATGGTCAAAGTGGACGAATGCATGTTGTGGGCCGGAGGGGCGCGCCTCCAGGTAGTGCTTGATGGCGACTACCGGACATAGCGGGTTACCTGGTATAGGTGACATTGTAACTGTTGTCCCCATCCTGTACTGATCGGACTTTGAGTGTGGTAAATGGATTGCAAGCTGCTGGGGGTTGCCCGAGAAGCTTAGATTCTGGATGGCGCAACCTGTTTTTGAGGGTCCAATTTGGACCAGTTCGCTAACCCTAAAGAAGCCGAAGAAGGCTGTGCAGTAGACTGCCTTGAACAGCCTGGCTTCATATGCTGATGAGCATACGTGAGGCAGATTGTTGGTTACTACCTGCAGCAGATCTGCAGTGATCGGTTTTCTGGTGTCTGGACGGCCCGCTGATTTGTGTAAGCCAGTTACAATCTTGCCTACCAGGAAATGGTTTGTACAGTCGGTGAGCCCGTGGAATTTGTGGTGTGAAGACAGCGCTGCAATGTAAGTCTTGACTGTGTTGGGGGAGTGGTGAGTGACTGACAGATAAGCAATAAAGTTTACGACCTGATCCAGCGGGACTGGCCACACTTCTTGTAGCTGGTGTGCGGACCGGAACTGGTGCAAGGCATTGATGCCTGTTTGGTAAGTGGCCCATGTATTAGTAGACAGAGATTGTTGTAGGAGTCTGCCGGCTTCCTGCCTCAGATCAGCCATATGTTGCACGGGATAGGTGTGGGGTTCTGGTCCGCGGCTGGTGCTGCCTCTCGGAAGCGTTTGAGCTGAAACCTCGAGAGAGCATCGGCAATAGTGTTAGCAGTGGAACATACATACTTTGCCTTAAACATAATATTATATCGGAGGCACTGCAGGATTAGGCGACGGAGTAGGCTCATCACTCTGGGGGCCTTGGTTGACTGCTTGTTGATTATTGTTACGACGGCTTGGTTGTCGCAGTAAAAGAGGACCTTTTTGTTTGCGAGTTGCTTGCCCCAGATTTGGATGGCCAGTGTGATGGGGAACAGCTCCAGGAGCGTCAAGTCCCGTGTAGTTCCATCCGTCACCCACTGGGTTGGCCATGCGCCGTTAAACCATTTGCCCTGCATGTAGGCCCCAAAGCCGGCGCCGCCCGCTGCGTCTGAAAACAGCTGGAGGAAATCGCTGTCCACCCATAGTTGGTCCTGAAACACTGAAATGCCGTTGTAACTTGTAAGAAATGTTAACCACATTTGTAGGTCTTCCTTGACCCAGCTGGTAATCCTAATGTGGTGAAATGGTTGCTTACCTTTGCTAAGCAGATCGATTAGCCTGCGGCTGAATGCCCTTGCCATTGGTATAGCCCTGCACATAAAGTTAAGCTTGCCTATGAGGGACTGAAGGGCCCTTTTTGTGACCTTGATGTTACCTGTTGGCAGGATGTCATGGATTTCCCTTGTTGCCTCCTTGATCTTGGGCTCTGGGATTCTGATCTGCATTGCAATGGTGTCGATTTCCAGCCCTAGGAATGTCAGTTTGGTTGTGGGGCCCACCGTCTTGTCGTGCGCAATAGGAACCCCGAGCTGTTCAAGTGTATTCACGCATCCGTTGAGGTTGTCTGAGCAGTGGCTGGTGCCTGCTGTGCCCCCCGTTAGGAAGTCGTCCAGGTAATGCATGATCGGACGCGTTGGAAGATGCGATTGCATGCACCATTGCAAGAAGGTACTAAACGTTTCAAATATGGCGCAAGAGATGGAACAGCCAAATGGTAAGCATTTATCGAAATAGAACTCACCTTCGAATCTGATGCCTAGCAGCTCGAAATCGGATGGGTGGACTGGTATAATTCTAAAGGCCGACTGAATGTCGAATTTTGCTAGTAGTGCTCCCTTTCCCAGTTGTTGAACCATATGGGTAGCTTCATCAAATCTGGCGTACACAACGGAGCAGGCCTCTGTGTCTATGAAGTCATTTATAGATTTACCCCTGGGATAGGATAGATGGTGAATTAGACGGAATTCCTCCGCATGCTTACCTAGGTGCTGACCATACCCTGGCTGCTTCTTGGGCACCAGGCCTATTGGGGATACTTGGAGGTTGTCTAGGGGGGTGTCCTTGAAGGGGCCCGCCATCCTGCCAAGGTCGACTTCCTTTTGTAGTTTTTGTTTCACGTAACCTGCCGTGTCTTGGTGCGTGGCTGATCGCAAGTTTCGTGCCAGGCGACCCTTGCGGCTTCCCTGGAACTCGAGCTTAAAGCCAAAGCTAAAACCTACCCATAAATAATTTGCATCTCTGTAATTGACCCTAGCATATTGGCGTAACCAAGGTGCCATTTCATTGAGGTCCACGGGGGAAGGGGCTATTGAATTTACCTGCCTTGCGGGGTTGTTTTCTGTTAGGAAAAGGCTGATTGGGCTTGTATGGGGTCGGTTGGACCCCATTCCCTCGAAAGCAGGTCCTAGAGCTATGGGAATGTTCGCCACACTTACCGCATTTGTGAGTGTACTTACAGTTAACCCTGCTACAGCCAAATTTATTGAAATCCCAGCATACCTGACTGGCGATGTCCCCCTGTACGCGTGTCATTGCGCCCCGTCCGCCTGATTCTGGTTGTCGTACCGGCTGTGTTACCATGTACTTCAGCCACAACTCCCCGTCGATGTTGTCCCAGCGTCGTGAGGGGTCCCTTGACATTCTGTGTCGGAATTGTTGGTCGTAGGTTGACCAGGCATCCCCCCCGAATCGAAGCGCCGCCGTCCGTATGGTTTCCATGTAGGACAGCAACCCCTGGGTTGTGCGGACCTCGGAGTGCCTACTAACATATATACACATGAAAATGTGGAAAGCTGAAGTCCAGCTCGCCAGGGACAGACGCTTTGGTTGCTGCTTAATTGGTTTAAAAATTACCTTACCTGAGGAGTCGTACGCCATGGTAATCGTACCGTCCTCGTGATCTCCCTCGTTGTTTGGTAGTATTGTGCCGAGGTCGACATACTCGCCACGCCAGATTTTTTCCCTCACCTGTTGTTTGACGTGCGCGTCTATCCCGTCCGCACGGAAAGATAGGGAATCCCCGTATCCTGTGGTGTGATTGGCTGGCCAAGCCGCGTCTCCGTCGGCCTCGTTGAGGGCATCGGGGATTCTCCCTATGTTGGGCGAAATGGCGGGCGAACTAAAACCACGCCTTACCTGTTGGTTTGCGCTAACCGGGCCAGGCGCTGAATGTTCCAGCAACTGGAGTATTTTTTCCAGTTGCTCGTTTACCTGGGTAGCCGAGTTGGCAGCCTGTGCGGCATTTGCAAGCTGCGCCGATTGTACGTTAATTCTGTTGCCACCTTCGATATTGCCGTGATTGGCAGACTCACCATCAGCTGTTGCCTCCTGTACAATGTGTACTCCCGGGGTTTGTCTTCTGGTTGTCCTGGGCTGCTTGGCTCCCCTCACCAGCTTGTGGTTGACGGTTGCTCTTCTCTTGGGAGGCATCACAAAGGTCGAGGTGGTGAGATTGTATTCCACAAGCGTAAATTGTCCCGAGGGTGAAGTTCGGGAGTGGAACGGAATAAATGCGATACGGCGAGTGCTGAAAATAGATGGTATTTAAAGCGTAATCGGCGAAACGGTCGCGATTGTGTAAATGCGATACGGCGAGTGTTGGAATAGATGGTATTCGAAGCGTAATCGACAAAACGGTCGCGACTGGGTACAAGACGACTTCCGCCGCCGGGCCCATATACGTGGCAATTGTTTGCCCCAACGTATGTTATTTTACGATTCCCCGGCTGAAAAGTCGGGAAAGACAAGGTTCCCACTGAGAAGCAGGTAACCCCGGAAAGGTTCCCGCTGAAAAGCAGGTAGCCTTAAGCACGAGTATTAATTTGGAAGCAAGTTAATTTGTTACTAGCAGTGTAGCCCACAAGAACCCCGCACACCTCGACATAGTTTATTGTTGAGACAGGTATTGCATATATTCATATATACAGCTATTAGGCAGTCATGTTTATTTACATATATCAGAATCATTTAAAAGTATGTACATATATACAAGCGCTCTGAAAACCTATTTTACATATGTACAGGTTTATTTACATATATACAATCCGCTCTGCTGGTACCTGTAATAGAATAAACGCTGAAAAAGAAGTGATTAGCATTCCAGGTGAAGAGGACACGTCAGGCTGAAAAGGAAAGAAAAGGGAGTGGCAAGCTGAGTGGGTGGGTGGGTGGGTGGGAAAGCGTTTCTAGACAGTGACACACGTGTGTACTGGTGGAGGGTTGGTCGCGAATGACCGACTAACAAAGAGGGGATGATGCTTGCGCGGGATTATTCCCCGGGCACGGTGCCGAGTGGTGGCCCGGGGTGATTGGGTTACGAGGGGTGGTTGGGTTACAGACGTAATTAGCCCATGGTTTGGATACGCGCCATAAAGTCATTTAGTCGTTAGTACTAAATGTAATTATGTTGTTGCATTAAGTGTTTAAGAGCTCGCCTTCTGCCTCAGCAATTTCGGCTGACCTATCCCTCTTTGGGACTCCGGTGTGTGAGTAGGGTACACATATCTATTGTGAGTTTGATGTTCACATAATTTCTGTTTTTGTATTGATATGATTTCTATTTTCTTATATTGATATGCTTTATAGCAATATTCCCTCTTGGCCACTATATAGGTCGCATGTCTTATGTGTTTCTATACGAAAAAAGCATATACGTAAAACAACATTAATGAATTGTTAAACCTTACCTTAGTTGGCGGAGGCTGAGTTGGGTTTTAATCATAAAAGAGAGCTGAGATTTTTCCAGTCACATTTCAATGGAGGGAATGTTGAAATTTTTTCACTATCTACTTAAACATAATTTAACTGTACAGACGTATGTGCTTTTATAACAATCCGCGGGTTGCTGCGTAAAACAAGAATTTGATTGATTTATGGCCCTAGTTAGTTTAATTAGATCCTCCGCCCCAGTCCAAGTTATCAAAACAGCAAATAACACCGCGCATGAGCGCTGAGTAGTACGTGTTCCTTAAAAAAACAATAGTGTTCTCCTGAAAACAACACTTAGGTTATATGAATGTTTGTTCTGTTTGCGGAGTAGATGTCATCAAAGTGGAAGTCCTCACCCAAGCTACGGTAATACTACCGGATGTCCATTATGTAATTTCTAGTTTTTAGATATTGTTCTCAGTAACCATAATGTGGAAATAGATAGTTGATTGGTTTTATATTCCAGTTGGTATTTCCGCTATTCAAAGTGTGCATCGAGGCCGTCTTATCAACAGTCATTTCTGAGACATAAATGCAAAGTTTAATTAATTAAGTTTACTCTCACTTTTTTTGCATTTATATTTAACTCTAACGTTAATTTCAAGATTTACAGTACATACTATTCAAAAGAAGTTAAAGAACATGGTTAGTCGATAGCGAAAGCAATAGAGCGAGAATGCGAGAAAGCGATAGAGCGAGAAAGTGATATTTCCCGTAATGCCGTACATTAAAACAGTTGTTGCTGATATTTAGTGATCTATTCCTGTAATTCTCACCGCTGTTTTTTTAACATCTTTAGTAGATAAATATGTTACAAATCGATACATGTATCGATTTCGGGATCACAATTATATTGATTAAGATGCATGTACATTATGCAGACAAAAGTTCACAGTTAAATTTCCCTTACAAAATACAGATGGACTAGACATATGTCTCTACCTTAAGTCACATATACGACTTTCAAGAGCGTCATTATAATTAACCCGTAACCCCATTCCTTGGACAAAAGAAATGAAATGTGTTGTAAATATTATTTAAAAACAACTCGTTTCTTATAATTACTTTCGATCAAAGTGTCTTCGAGAATTAAATTTAATGCTAAAGTGCTTGCAAAATAAAGTTTCCCGCCAGGAGAGACTAGATATCCGATTATAGAATAGGCTCAGGCAGGAATATACATATTTATGTTGCAATTCTCTATCCATTTAAACTGTATGGTTAACAATGGTGCGTTCTGATGTGAGTTATGTAGTTATCTACTACATGTTTGCACAGACAATGAGTCAGACACACACACAAACATAATTTTGACAAAACTATACTTAAGATATACATAAAATCTTACAATGATAGCTGATTGAACATATGTTATAGTATTGCATTTCATATTGTTATCAACTTTAACCATGTGGCCACACTGATTAATATGTCACTCCATATGTGTAGTTGACACGAGTACACATATCAACTGTGGTAACGCCACAGCTATGGGGGCGGTCGGGTTGCCTAGTGGTTAAAGCGTTCGCTCGTCACGCCGAAGACCCAGTTCGATTCGCCACATGGGTACAATGTGTGAAGCCCATTTCTGGTGTCCCCCAGCCGTGATGTTACTGAATTTTTGTTAAAAGCGACGTGAAACCATACTCACTCACTCACAGCTGTGTTTATCAAATTACTACATGCAAGTACATATACTTGTAGATTTGCACAAGACAAGAGACACAATTCAAGTTAAACATACATCAAATTTTAAAAAGAATATTTACGGACAACAGTATGACACACTGTAACATCATATTCTACCGAAAATAAGTTATAGAACACCCAAAATTATTAGATTGTATTTTTTATTTGCAAAACAATCAGCCATGCCTAATTAACCATAGTCTTCTTAACTTCTTTTGAATAGTACATTATTAGATTTTAACCTGATTTATTTAGAGCGTATTGCAATAATCTGCTTCGCGCTTTCGGCGTGATGGTCACATACAACTGAATAGGGCCGTAAATCAATTACATTTTACGCAAAACTCTGTGGATTGTTTTAAAATCACCTACGTCTGTACAGTTAAATTATATTGTAAGTAAATAGTGGGAAAAGTTCAACATTCCCTCCTAATTGCAGCAGATTTCACATGCGGACCCCATAGTGGTCAAGAGGGGATATTTGCTTAACCGCGAGAAAGCGAGAAAGCGACACTGCAAACTCGAAAACGTCGTTTTTTCCCGTATATGGTCATTGGACGGAAAAACGACGTTATTTGGACGTTTTCAAACCATCGTTTTTCCGTCCAAATAACGTCGTTATTTGACATCGGAATTTTTTGGGAGAGAACGATAGCGTTAAGCTCCTCCCTTTCTTGATTGACATTGTCAATCAAGCAACAGCCTCTACCGGTATTTCTACTTCTCAGTTTTCATTGGTCAGTCCCCGCGTGTTAGATTACAGGCCCGCGTTTGACGCTGCACTCGAAGCGCTTAGCGGAAGTACTGAAATCAATCGTTCTGCGCATGCGGATTACTTAATGCCTTGACCAAATTTTCCGTTCTGTGCATGCGCGATTTCGCGTATTGTTTCCTAGATTTAATGTCACCACTATTTGACAATGATTCATAAACACAGTCACGTGAAGGTTCGGAATCGTAATGAGTAACTCCATTTAAATTGAAGAGTATCCCCAGTGATATGGGAGATTCCAAGATGAAACTATTCTATGGCTATCTAGGCTGCCACCGAAACCGATCTAAACGGGATCCGATAGCTTATTGTATGCTATATAGTCATATGGAAGTGGACAAGAACTATACATTGTATTCCGGCCGATTGTTCTTGCATTTACTTATAAGTCAGGAAAATGGACTTAAAAGGGGAGTTGTTGAATGTAATTATTTTAATTATTAAATGTTGCCTATACACTAATCTGGTCGAACTTCTCATTGTTCTGTTTATGTCATCCTATATACTATTAGTATGTTACCGTTCTAAAGTCATCCTCTCACATAACATAATATTGTTCATAGTATCAAAGTTTAATCAACAATATCAAGAGCAGCGATTTAAACCACTGAAACACCCAAACACAAGGCTGTTATCAAGCGCTAGTGCAGACGTGATGTATCGTAAAAAAACTGTATCTTGTTGTCTTCAGAAATACAATTATACTACGAGATAGTACGGCTAACGCTGACTCACCGGTGGAACAAAGACAATAACGCTAATACAGATATAACGTATTTTAATGTTAATACTAAAGACAAACAATCATTATTTTTGCAGTGACGATATAACACGTATACACGTTTATTGTTAGCTTTCATCACTTTTGCTCTTCATTTTAATAACTTTGTTTTCACATATATATGTAGCAATACCCGACAAGCATGTTATACATAATTATGGGGCAGTTTTCGTTCTTGTACTGACTTACTCTGGTGTTAATGAGCGATGTTTATTGGCTTGTGTGTAAAACCCCGTTTTTCTGGTAATCCTATTATTACTTAGTTTATGTCTATCTAATGACACCCTGCACTCTGGATCATGGCTCCGTGACTATCCATAACAATTAAGATGAACATTCAGTTCAAGTAAATGAATGAGTTTGTTTTGACGCTACAGTCAGTCAAAAAAACCAATGCTGTGAGGTTTGATAACAAACTTCTACCAGGTCGAGCATCGTGGATCCTCATTTTCTGCCTAAAGAGAATCATAGTTCATATGCTAATCCATCGGTGAATACCCTCCCACTCAAGATGACCTTACTTGTTGCTAAATCTATCATCTATCCCCCCAATCTCACCCCCACGCCCCCCCCCCCCCCCCCCCACACACACGCACGCACGCACGCAAACACACACGCGCACACGCACACACACGCACACACACACACACACACACAAACACACACACACACACACACACACACACACACACACACACACACACACACACACACACACACACACACACGCACGCACGCACGCACGCACGCACGCACGCACGCACGCACACACACACACACACGCATTAATTGTTTTATTAAAAGTATCTTCGAGAGTCTGTAAGAAACTAGAAGTAACTGCCTTTGTTCTGTAAACCTCACCAAGTTTCAGCTTTCGCCTCTTCCTTTGTGGACTGAGGTTTCACATTTGTAAAATGATCTCTCTTATCTGTCTGTACCATCAACTTAACTGCCCTCACCCCCTGCAGTTTTCCTGTCCCATATTGCCAAGCAGGTGACCCACAAGGAGGAATACCGCCCTCCCTCAGTCCAGTGATACTGTTCCTAGCACAATATTTTGGGGATACGTAGCCTTGCTGTGGGCAAACATTTTGTAACAATTTGGCAAACTTTGATATTAAACAGCAAATATTATTCAGTTTTATTTCAACAAAAACGGAAAAAATCGGATCCTACTTATTTTGTGGATACCATAACAATAAATCAAGCCAATAGATCGTTTGAGCTGGCATGAATATAAAAAATAATTAGCAAGTCGATAGTCATAATTCCCTCTGTTGGTCCCACGTGAAATGTTCTTCACGAATAGAATAGACGTTCGACCGAATAATATCAAATGCTAACTTCAACTGTTCATCTAATTTCCATGAATGTAGGTTACATAGTTCATATGTTCATGGGCTTCTTCACTGAATGTATAATGTGGAGGACTACTTCACTTGAGGATAAGTAACATAAATAATGATGATAATTATGATAGTATTGCCATTATTATTCCTTCAGATTATTAAAAAAAAAAGTTATTATGTTTTCATAGAGAGAAAGAGGTATGGAGATTG